TGGCATGTACAGCTGGAGGAGGAGTCCAGCTATTTGACAACGTTTGCCACTCCATTTGGAAGGTACAGATGGCGGAGGATGCCGATGGGGATAAGTCCGGCCCCTGAAATATTCCAGAGAAAGCTGACACAAGCGCTGGATAATGTACCTGGTCTGTACATTATAGCGGATGACATCCTGATCACAGGACAGGGGGAGACACAAGAGGAAGCGGAACGGGATCACGATGAAAAACTGAAACGGTTTCTCGACAGATGCAGGGAAAAGAACATAAAATTGAATGCAGAAAAGTTCAGACTGCGACAGAAGGAGACCACATACATTGGACACCGCTTGACGACAGATGGACTCAAAGCGGATCCTGAAAAAGTGCGTGCTATCGGGCAGATGCCAGCACCGACGGATGTAAAAGCAGTGCAGAGGCTGATAGGTATGGTTAATTACCTCACCAAGTTTTGCCCACACCTCTCAGACCAATGCAAGGTATTGAGAGACCTGACACACAAGGACAGTGAGTGGACATGGACAACAGAACATGAGGAGGCATTCCTCAACCTGAAAGAGACAATTGCGAATGCTCCAGTATTGAGATATTACAACCCTGAGGAGGAGCTGACAGTACAGTGTGACGCTTCAGACACAGGTTTGGGCGCAGCACTGATGCAGATGGGGAAGCCAGTCGCTTTCGCAAGCAGGGCACTTACACAAACTGAGGGGCGCTATGCCCAAATAGAAAAAGAGTTTTTAGCAGTGGTTTTCAGCATGGAGAAATTCCACCAATACACATATGGCCGCAAAGTCACTGTACAGAGTGATCATAAGCCGTTAGAAACCATTGTACGCAAACCCCTGCTGAGTGCACCCAAAAGGCTGCAGAGCATGATGCTGCGCATACAAAAATATGACTTGGATGTCATTTATGTGCCTGGAAGAGACATGTTACTGGCCGACACTCTCAGCAGAGCCTATCTTCCTGAGAGTACACCGGTGGAAGCTGAGCTGGAGACTGTCAACATGGTGCAACACTTACCGATCTCCTCAGACAGACTACATGACATAAGGTCTGCCACAGAAAAAGACACCACATTGCAGCTTCTCATTAAAACAATGAGCCAGAGATGGCCCAAGGACAAATCACAAGTACCGAGTGAAATCAGGCCTTACTTCTCATTACAAGGAGAATTAAGCCACCAAGATGGAATAGTCTTCAGGGGTGAGCGTGCCGTAATTCCTGACAAGCTGAGATCAGACATCACTGGTCGATTACACTCATCGCATCTGGGTGTTGAAGGATGCCTACGTAGAGCTAGAGAGTGTGTCTACTGGCTGGGCATGAACGACCAGATTAAGACGTATATAGCCAAGTGTGATATCTGCAGGTCAATGGACAATAAACAGCAAAAAGAAACATTGATGTCACATGAGGTTCCAAGCAGGCCATGGGCGAAGGTGGGCACAGATCTGTTTGTGTTTGACAACAAGAACTATCTCATCACTGTGGATTATTGGTCGAACTTTTGGGAAATAGACTACCTGATAGATACGAAATCCACCACAGTGATAAAGAAACTGAAAGCTCATTTTGCCCGCCAAGGCATTCCGGATTCAGTGATGTCAGACAACGGCCCACAATACGCGTCCCAGGACTTCCAAAAATTCTGCGAACTGTGGGGATTTCAGCATGTGACCTCGTCACCTGGCTACCCACAGAGCAATGGCAAAGCAGAATCAGCTGTCAAGACGGCAAAGAGACTTCTCATGAAAGCCAAAGCAGCTGGACAGGATCCTTATCTTGCAATTCTGGACCACCGCAACACACCGTCACAGGGCCTGGATAGTAGCCCAGCACAGCGACTACTCAGTCGCCGTACCAAAACACTGCTGCCAACGAAAGCAACCCTGCTCAGGCCAGAAGTCGTTCAGGTCAGCCAGAAGCTGAAGAACAGGCAGCAACGTCAGGGTACATATTACAACAGATCAGCTAGAGACTTGGACACACTTGCCACGGGTGACTGTGTGAGGATACAGCCACTCCCACCCAACGCTGTCTGGAGACTAGGCAGGGTGCTGAAGCCAGTTGATGGGAGGTCCTATGAGGTTCAGTTGCAATCTGGAAGTGTCATTAGGAGAAATCGCAGACACCTCAGGCGTGCACCTGGTGTGACCTTTAGTGACCCTCTCGATATGGAGATCAGCATTCCCAGTCAGCCACAGGCTGTGAGACCGGAACCTGCAGAGTCTGTTCCTGTCCCCCACGGTGTAGCAACAGAACATACACCCAGAGACACTGGTGGCGGAGACACCCCTGTCACGACCAGAGCCGGGCGTACAGTGGTGCAGCCACGTCGATATAAGGACTGTGTGGTATCATGCAGATGAATGCTGATGTTTACATGCACCTGACACGTGAAAAGTGTACAAGCGCAAAAGTTATGGTTTATTTGATATTGTTGTGATCATTTGCACATTTCATGTTTGTAGCGAATGGTTGAGTGTTATCTCACTGTGAAATTGGTGATGCTGTGTTTTTAGTTAGTTATAAGCTATGTTCAGCAGTTGCTGAGAGAAGGTTTTATAGATGAGCATATTGAATTGTTTATAATTTAGCAATAGTCAGTGTCAGTATTATAATCGTGCTTGTTGGTCACAGTCAAATGTTGAGATAACAGCTCTAACTCTGAAAAGAGAAAGGATGTAACAATAGGAACTATAAGTAGGAACTATTGTTTAGTTCCGTGAGTCACACGGACTGTTATTGTGAAACACTGCCTTGTAACCAGACCGAGCACGATGGACCGTACACGCGACGTGAGAATGTATTAAAGTTTACAACCCAGTGAGGTGAGACCTGAAGAGTGTCCTCGTGTTTGTGATTAAACACCGCATTATAACAACTGTGAAATAAACGCATGTACAGAATACTGAATGTTGACATTTGAGCTACTGATTCAATCCATTTTCATCTTTACTCGACAGCAGTCTCAGCTAACAGAAGTGAGAGGTGGGGGTTGGGGATTTTTCAAGTCGGGGGGAGGGAGGTGGGGGTGACGGCTGGGGGGCGAGGGGGGCATCTACACGGTGAAATGTGTGGTGGTGGGGGAGGGGAGAGCAGCACCCAGTCATCCACTTCTCGTGCTCCGATTGGCCATTGGTGTCTCCGCTACCAGAGGCAAGACCTGGCAAGGGCTGACAACAGAGACGGCTACACACACACACACACACACACACACACACACAGTGCTCTGCTGAATAAAAGTGTAAATGATGTAATACTGTGCCCTTTTCTATTATTGTGTTTACTGCCTGAGGTCTCAGGAAACAACTCAGTTATGATGCAGCAAACACGCCACCCTGTTTGTTCTGCAGCATCGCTGTAAACTGAGGGTTTTGGTTATTACTTCCATTGAATTCTACTGGTTTCTACTCATCCACCGGTCAGCTGAGAGAACGCCCTTGTGTGCAGATATGTGTATTTTTACTGCTATCTGAGGGCAGCAATAAAACTCCCAATTACTGGAGCTCTTGAAATGTGAAATGGAGAAAATTCTTACCCAGATCTGTAATTTGATCCTCTTGTCATTCCTGTAGATGGTTTTCACCTTGAAGTCAATGCCCACCGTACTGACAAAGGCCGGTGTGAAGGAGTCGTCGGCGTAGCGGAACAAGAAGGATGTTTTGCCCACACTGCTGTTGCCGATGATGAGGATCTTGAACATGTAGTCAAAGTTCTGGTCCGAAGACTCCTTCTGCCCGTAGGTTGCTGTTGCGGAGGCCATCTGTGGACGGAGCGGCAGGAGAACACCAAACTTAACGTGGAAATGTCATCTGTAAGACTATTCCTTCCTCTGTTGACGAGGCCGTGAGAAATTACATCGCTCTTACTGCTGAGTGTTTTACAGTGACTCCATGGCAAGTCCTCTCGTTCATTTCTATATTTCTATTGCACAATATTAAGGATTTATCTTTTTTCCTGCATAAAAACGCATTTAATAAGTGTTAAGAGAAAAGATGAGTTTCTGTCAGCATATAGACTCAGTGTAACTGTGATTAACTAGACAGGCTTAAACATTTTTACCATGGTAATTAATCAAAACAGCAGATTGCGATGAATTCGTTTTGGCAGAAAGGGGGGAGGCAGACTTGTGCTATAACATGATCGTGGTCTGTACCAGCCACTACTAAGGATTATCTTAGGCTCGTGTCTGACAAACGTTGATGGCTCCTTGATGGCGGTGTGATACTTACAGCTGAAGTTACAGACCTGAAAAGAAGTTTAGTCGTTCATCTACACGAAGGATGACACCCCTGAGAAGTTATTAAATGACAGCAGGAACCTACTGTCTGTGTGTGACCTACGCACTCATCCATGAAATGCCCTCTCTTTCCTGGGGGACTACGTTCTGTGTCTGATTAAAGTGTTTGACGTTTCAGAACTTTGCAGTGTTTGCTTACGTTGGTTTTGTTCTCACTTTAGATCCCAGATCTGAGTAAAACTATATTCAAATATCAGAATAACAACCACATTAATAAATACCCCAAATTCCCCTTTAACTGTCCGTACATTAATAAACCCTGAACCGGCTAAAGTAATGCTGAAAAAGTTCTAGTAACGGTCGGACAAAGTCATACTGGCCGCTTCATTCCGACTTCGGAAGAAACACCATCGGCGACACGGCTGAGACTTGCAACATTTGCTGGGATGCAACCGTGCTACCTACCAGTGGGGCTACAAGACGGCTAAAAGGATTCAGGAAACCATTCTGCCTCTTGAGAACACAGTGAGTCGAGCCCAGAGGCCTCAGCGTCGCGGCGCCCGGCTCTAAATTTAGACTGTTATCTCCCCTCGACTGCAGTGGAACACGAGAACTCTCAGGGAATAAAGCACGAACAAAACAACTGCACCGTCCTCAGAGCTGCCGCCGATCGGTTTACATGAAGGAACACAGAGATCCTTGTTGAATAATGAAGAACCAACGACCCTTCCTCAAGACACTGAAGCAAAAGAGATGTCAGGTGGAGGCGTCCTCAAAGCGGCTTCATGCAACACAACCTGAGTTCAAACAAGAAGCTGAAGTAAAAAACAATAAAGAAACCTGTGATTACCCAAAGTAATGTTTTAATACATTCTGGTCTAACTTATAATTGATAATAATTGGACATCTGATAAAACGCCGCAGCATTGATTTATATCTTGTTAAAGTAAACTGCAGCTTTGATTGTGACGTCAATAATTTCTCAAGAATAACTTGAGCTCCTGCATAGATTTTAGTTTCCGCCTCAAATACCAAAGACGAAATCTGGGGAATAAAGGGACCTCATAAATAAACCTAAATCAATTGTACAACTCTAAAATAATAATACAGTAGAAAAGTAAAATACGACTTCAAATTGCATAGTTCTAAAAATGTATTTTGTCTGAATTTCTGAATATATTTGCCTAAGTGTTTTTTGAAAAACCCTGTAGGACAGCACAACATACTGCGCAATCACAATTTTGTTTTGACAGTTTGATATTTGTTTTCAGCACAATGCATCGATATCATTATGTTTGTTTATATGCATGGAAATGTGTTTCCATCCCAGACATTTACAACAAGCCACAGCTCCCACAGACACGCGCGGAAACTACTTCGAGGACTCAGCGTTGTGACATCGCTAAACTTAATTGTCATCCAATCAAGTCGGCTGAAAATCAGAGTCTCTGCAGTGAAGTCGCCTGCAGTGTGACTCACCGAGGGTAAGAGAGGGGAATCCACAGCAGCTACAGCGAAAGGAAACACACACACACACAGAGCAGGAAGCAGGCGAGCTTTCTTTGGATGTGTTCACACCAGTCGTGACACCAAATCTGACCAGGATCACTAAGTGTTCCTCGCATCCGACCTCATTGGTGGTATTGTTCCTGTTCCGATCAAGATACTCAACGTTTTGTGGTAGTTTTCTGCTACAGTTGGCGTTTCCAGGACCATGATGACACACTAACACCCACACAGACACGCACATTTTATTCCTTCTCTGGCTAAGGACAAATCTACTGGAAGTGAGATCACACCTGATCACAGCAGGGGTTTGGTATTCGATTTCGTCTTTGGCCAGTCTTATTAAAAATGTATGTGCTTGTGTTACGGTCGCACCAGTTTCCACTCAGCTCAGTAGATTATTCAGCCAATGCGCTTTTTCAGATGTGTCAGCGATTTTATAGTTTTAGCACATTAGGCAAAACATCCTATCATGAACTGTTTTCACCGATCCTTGTTCCACCATGACTAAGAGTTTCTGTGCTGTGTGACGGCATCATCCAGCTCTCTTCCAACCCTTTCACCAAAAGCCAGCAGCTGAATGGATTCACTGCTGAGTGCTGCTGCGGCCAGCTAGTCAGGCTCATTTAATCAGCAGTGGCTGGCTTTCTGCAGACTGGCAGCTGATCCTGAGCTGATCCCAGATCCTCCCAACACCCTCCTGCTTAAAGACAGTTAATGAGGAACGACTGATCGATGCGCCTTCCCCTCCGCAAGGTAACGAAAACACTCAAAGAGATTAAAACATTTTATAGTGATGGTAAAAGATACTTTAGCTCCACTTTGATCAGCAACAAAATGAAAGGACCCATCCTATAATAACAATCAAATATTGTTATTTACTACTGTTACTTTCTATAAACTCTAACTAGGAATCCCAACCAGGTCGAGGACTAGAACCAGCAGGACTGTACAGAGACAAATGCGTGTCTGCCCAAAAATTGAAATAGGCAAACTCAAAATATGCTGTATTAGAAAAAATGACATCACCTGACTTAAATTCATCACCACTTCACCCGGCACCCGTGTGGGTGAAGCAAAAATGAACAACGTGCTACAAAAGAGAAGATGCAGTGGTTTTTAATACAGCTGCTGTTCTGCTCCCTGCTTGCTCAAGACAGCATTTACCCCCTATTCCTCCAACCACGTGACCCCTTTTCTAGGAGGAGTGGTGATGCAGATGAGAGGAGGGGAAGCTAAAAATAGCTTTTTTTCTTCCTCTTTTCCTTTTTTTCTCTCCAACGCAAACCGAAGGCCGAGAGGAGGGAGCAGCCAGGATGTGGGGGATGTATTCGGGTTTTTGCAGGTGAATCCAGGACGTTGTGGATTAAACGTGTCAGATGGTAATCCAGTATATACTTCATAGATATTAGCCTTTTATTTAACATTGTCCTCTTTTTAAAAAACTTTTCTAGATGTTGATTGAAAACGTAAAGCCTGGAAGGTAAAACCTTTTTTCCCCACTCTGTTAATATGTTAAGGCTTGTTTGGGCCAGTGTGACATTTATTACTGTACTATGGTTTTAATCATAGTAAGAGCTTCACCAGCTACAATGACTTTTACAACTTTGGCCTGAATACTGTTGATAGCTAATATCTGCCCTATATTTAACCAATTTCATGTCTCCCTTTCGGATATTTGTTTTTTTCTATCTGCCTCTGAAGACAATCATCCAATCTGACTGGGAAGTTCAACCAATTATTTCAATGGCTACAGTTCTTCAAGGTATATGAAACGTCTTAATAAAACAACTCAAATGTTTTAGTCCATTTTTGTGGTCAGTCAAGACTCAACTGCCTGAAAATTTAATAAAAGCTCATGAACATAAGAATCTGAGCGTGGTTGTACGGCAGCAGCGTTTTTATAACAGGCAACATCGTTGTGTGTTTCCCAGGAGTGTTTTCTTCATATCTCACTGCTGTAACTTTCTTGTCAGCAGAATAAGTGCAAATGTGAACAGCAGACCGCCGGCTCACATTCAGACTGTTTCAAACACCTCTTAGCCACCCTTACAAGTTAAATATAACCTGCCAGTAGAATTTTAGTCTGCACCTTGTATTGTCCTTTACATTGATTTATTTTAATAATTGACAGGGCTGAATCAACCATTTTTGATACTAACGCTTTGAAACTAGTGGGGATGAAAGCCAATACATCTTCTATCGGTCTCTGTCTCGGCCCTGCACAAATGCACATTTACACACACACACACACACACACACACACACACACACACACACACACACACACACACACACACACATGTTTTTGTACATGCTGTCATTATTTGTTAATGCAGCCTACATTTAGGAAACTGGGAGCGTTTGTTCTCCCCCCTCTATATGTGCAGTAGGCACACAGCTATGTGTGTACATAGGCACACCCAATTCATATTTTTAGTTTGAATATGCCATTCAACTTATATCCGGCTTCTCCGTTTTCCTTTATTCTGTAATGAAATGAGGTGTTGCAGTATGGGAAGCTCTCACATGCACATCATATGAGGGCACTAGGCAAGATCTGATTGGTTTAGGACCAAATGCCTCATCCTACACCAGTTCTCCATATGGCTCAACGTTTTATATATAAAACTACAATTATATTGCTGTAATCCATCATATATTCAAACAAATAGTGAGTAGATGATACTCTATGCGTATGCAGGTTATATATTGGTAGTAATTGTTGAAATATTATTAGAAAAGGACAGATTTTACATACGCAGGACAACAATTATTTTTAATGACTGTCACATGTATGTGAACAAAATGAAGGTGTTTGAATTAAATCATATTGTTGCTTCCTCAGACACATTTTCCGTTAACATTAACCTATCGGACGGTGTGAAACGCCTTTTCCTGCAGGACAGGCCGCTGGTCAAACCGAGATGCACTCAGCAAATTACCCGCCTCAGATCCATCCTAACAGATTACACGGTTAAATGTGTCTTCCACGCATCTACGAAGGTTTAATGGTTTTCACATTGAAAACAGCTGTTCTACAGTGAGCGTCGTATACATCAAAGGTTCTTTAATGCGAAATAATTCCCCACGTATGCAAACATAAGCGCTCACAAACAATACGTAACCGGCTAATTTAGATTGACATGTTACGTGTTTGTCAATGCGGTACATTAATAGAGACAGCAATCTCACCTTTATAGATCTCTATCCGGTTGCTATCCACACCGTTCAGCACCCGCAGAAACACCACCACTGTCAAGTCAGAAAGTACGTACAAGAGACAATATCCGGCTTCAAATTACAGAATAAAGGCCGTTGAAACTAGCTTCCCTGTTAGTGCTCAAAATTAATGCGACAACTGCAATTGCTTAAAAATAAACGCATCCATACGAATAGACGCCCTAAAAACAAAACAAAGAAAACCACAACACACATCAAATTGATTATTTTAACTAGCAATTTTGATTTGTACATTTCTAGTAAACGTCTATTAATGTCCTAAAGACAACCAGGCAATAGTAAACTCATTAATTTCCACACCACCAGATTCCTTCATTTTAGTCTTCAGATCAAACAAACGCTGACAACTCTGGTGTAATGTTCATATGTTAGAAGCAACCTGAACGTGAAAAATCCAATGATATAACTTGAATTTACGTTGAAAGAAAAAACAACTTCCGGTCTTTCTGTTACTACTTTCCTCAGCCAGAAACAACGGTAAAATGAATGACAGGTGGGCGGGACCGTGGTCAAGATTGACAGCCTATCTGACGAGTCCAGAGCCGCGGCGTAACACCTTAAACTGAAACCCTCAAACATGGTCCACCTGTCATTCATAATTGATAAGCGCTGCTGGAGAGTGAATTATTTATTGGCAGGTCATGACTAACCACTGCTGCCTTTTCTAACTATTATTATCACACAATGGTAATGATGGTCATTTAAAAAATGATCACTGCAGAAACTTAATGTGATCTGTTAATGTGATAACGAACACCATACTAATACAATATGGTTTGGAATAAGTCCTTCAAACTCTATTAATATGAATACGTCCACAATAAAGTTGATCTGTAAAGCAACATGACAAACATGATAAGTTCCGAGTTTTATCGTAAATACATTTACATTTACATTTTGTATCACCTTGCAGTTGTTTTTGCAAATATCGAACATTAGCAGATTGTACATTGTGTTAAAACGAACCAACAGTCGTCAACTGATCCTCCGAACCAACAGGTGGCGCTGCCACGTCGAACGTATCCGGTTTAACGGTGGAGACCTGAACGCGTCCGGAGGGTCGGACCGGTGTGTCTCACATGGACGTTTGAGGACATGTCTGAGGTTCACGTTTGGACGCATTGAAGTGGTTGCCGTCAGAATAAATTAAAGGGGAAAGTCATATGAAGGGAGGTCGACTTTGACGCATCACCGACTCTTATCGGCGAGGAGCAGACAGGTGAGAGTGACTTTAAATTCTGCACGTGTGAGTGTCAATGCGCTGTTTACGCACCGAATAGAAACCGGTGCAGTTACATGGTTTGGGCAGCCGACTGTCGAATCCGTTGAATCTTTCATTTACCCGGAATTATGGCTAACGGTTATGCTAGTTTCTGTGACCTTTGACCCTCCCGTCTGTTAGAAAAGTTTCTGTTGCGTCATCTGCAGATGTTACTATAAGACATTCGTCCTCATTCGCGTTAGTGAATTATTGTATAGTGGACGGTAATGTTCAGGTCTACTACATTCAAAAACAAAAACAGGCTTGCTGGCTTTTGCTTTTTCAGAAGGTTACAGTCAAATCAAAGTTTTAATATATATATTTTTTACTATTGTCATAGTTTTGTAATATATTCACTTATTTCTTTGAGCATCATGTGCAACACAAATCCAGCTGGTGGCCAAACCTGTAAACAGGCACATCTATTCCAGATGTGCATTGTGATATAGGCTGCTGTACATCTGCGCAACACGCAAATAAAAGCAAAACTCATAAAAGCAATTCAGCACCTCTGCTACATTTATGCAAAAGCTCTTTACGTAAACCTTTAAAATGTGAGCCTTCATACAAACTGTGATACGATCTTTAATTAAAACACTCCTGGTTACTTAATTCCTCGACACACATTGTTAATCCTCACAGGCCGTGACATGCCTGTTGGTCTGTTTTGTGCTTCTGTGTTGCATGTGCAGCATTCATACAGTCCTCTTTCTCCCACAGATGACAGTAACGTTCTTTTTGCCGCAAAAATGCTTCCTCGGTTGGGCAAGGAGTTTCTGGTCCGGATGCAGTTCAACTGGCGGCCGCTGTTCCAGGGCCGAGCCCTGCTCCTCACAAACACCCTGAGCGGAGGAGTGTTATTGGCGCTTGGAGACATTGTGCAGCAGAGCCGGGAGAACTTAAAAAAGCCGGGCAGAGTACGAGACTGGAGGAGGACAGGTGAGAAAAGCGCAGCCTTCTCCACCAGTTTACTCAAATGTCTATGCAATGCGTTACGTTCTGAATTGACTCCTTATTCTCTCTCCACTCAAAGGTTGCATGTTTACGGTGGGCTGCTCCTTGGGTCCGGTGCTGCATTACTGGTACCTCTGGCTGGATGGAGTGTTTGTGGGCAAAGCTCTGAAAACGGTGGGCAAAAAGGTTCTGGTGGACCAGGTGATCGCCTCACCGTTTTTGGGCATGTGGTATTTTGTAGGTGAGAAATATTTCATTGTTTATTTATCTATGCTGGACTTCATGCATGAATGTATCTGTGTGTGTGTATTTATACGAAACGTGTTAGAACAGTGTTGTTAGCGGATTTAGCTGAGATTAGACAGAAGACTCTTAATATCAGAGGTGGAAGGAGTTCAAAGGGCTTCCGTGATGAGCAGTTTGGATCATATCCACGAATGATTTATAAAAGTTCCTCCAGGCTCCGACCTTATCTGAAGTTAGATTTTTATGTAGCGTGGCACTGACTCACATCTAGACCCTGTTTCAGAAAGCGGGTTTAACAAACTCTGGGCCAACCCCTGACCTCGTATCTGACTAAACGCTGGTCAGAGTTTGTTCCCTTTTTGTGTGTTGAAAGAAAACGAGCTGACATTAACGTAGCTCCGATTCCACGATTTACCATGGCAAAAGGTAAAGAACAGGCAGCCTTCCACTTGTAATTCAGATATTAATACATGCAAGCTATGTATGGACTGCACATGTATCTTTCAAAAAGATCCCGTCATAAAGGGAGAAAATAAATAAGTGAACATTTTTATTCTTAATTGTCGGTTGATTAATTATTTGCCAGACTATAAAATATGTCTGTGTGGAATCTGTCTGCGTATTAGGCTGTAGCCTACATTTTAAATGAATATGTCAGCTTTCATTTGACCTGTAAAAATACACAGCGGCCAACTGAAGATGTCAAATGGAGATGAAAATAATTTAAAAAATATTTGAACTAAATAGACACAGTATACATGGCTGTAAGCGCCCAATCTGACCAGTAAAATCCCCTGTATTTCAGTGGAGGGACTCAGATTTAAAGTGTCCCGTCCCCTGAAAGTGACCACTCTGTTTTTTGCAGGTATGGGTGTCATGGAGGGACACACTATATCTGAAGGATGGAAGGAGTTCACAAACAAGTTCTGGGAGTTTTATAAGGCAAGTACCCCTGTCACCTGTGTATCTGGAGCAGCCAATCAATGATCTTTACTCATGTTTTTTTTTTTATCCGGCAAACAAATTTAGAACTTTGGACAAATCCAAATAAGCAATGCTATTATACATTATATTATACATACTCATTGGAACGACTGTGACAGTAAACAGAATGGGTCGTTAATGAATATTATTAATTAAAGCTGTGTTAACCGTGCAATGGCACAGCTGCTGTGAAAAGGACCTATTTGGCAGGTTGAACATAGACGTCGTGTAATGAGTTTCCATTGAGGAAGCTCGTTATACGTGATTTTTTAACGATTGTTAAATGGTGTAACTGGTCCACTTTGTTAATGATCATCTGTGTTCTCTCCTGCAGGCGGACTGTTGTGTTTGGCCTCCTGCTCAGATGATCAACTTTTACTTCCTTTCGCCCAAATTCCGTGTTGTATACATCAACTTCATCACCTTAGGGTGGGACACCTACCTTTCTTACCTCAAACACAGAGTAAGTCAGCCACACAGGAGATTCCAGCGTAAATCCAGCGTAATTCTGGCTAGTTTTCAAATGATTTTATGGGTTAGGGTTTTATTTTTCATTTACTCTTGAAATTACCACATTACATCTTCATATTTTTTTGTGTGACAGGACGACAGCCCCCCCGCTGAGCTGCTATCAGACAGCAGCGCCGTGGATATTCAGCAGGAAGCGCTGCGGCCGTCCGAACCTGTGGAGGAGGCGAAAGCTTAGAGACCACGGACTTCTTTTCCATCATTGAAAGGTTATAAAGGAGATTGAGTTTCCTCCGACAAACTTTATCCTATATTTAACCTTTTATCAAGTTTAAAACATCTGTTTCTGTCCGAGCTCAGAGGACTTGGGGATGTTTAGAGCTAAGATGTGTGTCTGTATATTCATATCTGAAATGTGGACTCCTGTAGGAGGAATCAGGGATGAAATGATGTTTTACTGCCTATCAAGCTTGATGCCATTGATTCTGCCTTCCTTAAGGTATTTAAATGTAAGTTAATTGTTGCACATTTTTTTGCAAAACTACAATGTTTAAATTGTATAATACCAAATAGTGGCATTCCTTTTGTATTTTGCTTTTAATATATCTAATATAAAATTATAATAATCAAAATTAGTTAACGCTATTATTTACCTGCATTGACTTTGCCTTAATGTGTGGATCCGTAGTACGTTTTGATGAAAACTAACCTTGACTTCAGGTTTATCCCTTTTGAGATGTTTATGGAATAATTGCACAATTATGATTACGTGCTTAAAGATAATCATTTATCATCATACAATCATTTATTTTCACGTTTTATTTTTTACCATATCTAACTCAATCCTCAACTGTAGTTATAAACCTGATGTATTTTGGACTGAAGAAATTCTATTTTTCTTCTTATTTTTTCATTTTTAATGTGACTTGGTATGCTGTACGTACTGTAAATGTCCAGCTTCTATTTCATTCATTCATATTTAAAAATATAAATTCTGTCTGAAACAAACCTTTTGAAAAATGTGACTTCTTCCTCTCTGTCTCGTATCTTGATTCATACATTTAAATTCAAATGAATACATTTTCTTGCTCTTTGATATTCTTTGCATGAAACGGGAAAAATCTAATGACCCGGGCAGTCATTGTAGTTAAAAAAAGTGTGTTCTTTTTTGTAATAATGTTGGAAAATTGTTATCGTTTGAGACAATTATTTCACAGTCATTTCAGCAGTTACAAACACATTTATCAGTTTTCAAATAGGAAAAGATTACCTTTATTAGTAATGGCAAAAATACCTTTAAAATATTAAAATTAATCTGGTGTGTTTGGCAGCTATTTGGCTATTGTGGTAAAACGGGGCGGAGCCTGGAGCTCAGGTTGTTAAAGGGGGGGTACTACCCAGTGCAGGTGCTGTGGCATGTGGCACTGGTTACACCGGCACGTGGCATTGGTCACACCGGCACGTGGCACTGGTCACACCGGCATGTGGCATTGGTCACACCTGCAGCCCATCACCTAATCAGAGGGAGCTGAGCAGCAGCGAGAAAGAACAGACGCAGCAGGAGGAAGAGGATCGTTGGCCACACGAAGAGTGGACCTGGACTCACCTCTCTGCTGTGCTCTACCCCAACAGGACGGAAGGATCCGTTTACCCGTGTGGAGTACACCGGAGTCACGGACCCAGAGCCGAAGAACCCTTTTTTTTTGTTGGCATAAGCGCCCTCAAACTGACCTTGTTATTAAAAGGACTCTATTTGTTAAGCGATTACTGTCTATGAGCCTGCTATTTTAGCCCTGAATCTGGCCTCACTTCCTCTGGGTAGTGCAGCACTATTCACACCTGTACAAGTGGGAAACGCTACTTAAAGTGACTCACTTTCTGGAAATACCCTCGTTAGCCATTAACTGCCCGCTGAGCCCAGCGCCACAGCGGGGAAACCGTTTCTCTTTGCCTTGAGGGCTTCCAACGGTGTGTTTAGCTATTATAGATCCCACAGGCTTATACTGTGAACAGTAGATCAGTGGGTCACACAGGAGCTGTGGGTGGAAAAGGTCTGTCTGAGCACACAGACAATAAATGGACTGTTTGGGTTTTAGTTGTCGCCAAGAGACAATCAACACATCTCATGCTGTGCTTTCACTGGTACGGCCCAATTAAAACTAAGTTGGGCTGAATGATATATAGAGATATATAGAATGAGTTTGACCTCCCTGCTGTAGATTCTTAGCCTAGTTTTGTCCTTCAAGGCTTTAAGTTAGGGTGTATTTTATAACTCGTCATAAGTTATAACTAACCTGCACTGCACTCATGTAACCTTTTCTGAGTAAATTGTCCATGTCAGAGTGGTTTATTGTGGGATCATTTTTCATGGTTGATTCGATTTTAATAAAAAAATCATTACTTCTGTTCTGTCTCAGCACTTTGTTAAACACTAATGCAGATGGAACTATCAGCACACGCTGCTTAGTACATAATGGCCACTTAGCAGCTTGTTTTTTTTCCAGTTTGAATTAACTGCTTTTCAGTCTTGCAGACTATTAGTATAAAGTGAGGGATTTTAAATTTGGGCTTGAGGGGCTGACGTTATGTATACACACTATGTGTGCATATGTGTACACATATATACACAAAGACAATTCTATTTATAGGACAACATGGAATACAGCATGTTGTGAATGTTCATGTTGTTATTGATATAATCATTTCACACACACGTTGTTTGCACATCGTAAATATGTCAGCACCATAGCGGTAGAATTTGAATGTAGCCTAAATTCAACATAAAAACAAAATACTGTCAACTTAAAACATCATTAAGTGACTACAAGCCTCTTTTATTAGTAACAGGTGTATATGAGATGCAAGACCCCATTGCCTTTGTTTATGACCTATAAAAAAGTATACAAACAATTCAGTCCTGGTACCTTAAAAGCCAACTATTCAGTTTAGCATTAGCTTTTTTTTAAGAAATCGCCACTACAATAGAAGGTACGAGCCACAACGTTGGACAATAATGTCAGTCGTAACTACTGAGCAAATACAGAGCATTGTGCAAACATTGACACTCCACCCTGAGGCCTTCAGAACACTCCTTAGGCACTGAACACATCCTGCTGTCAAGGATGTAAACTGTGTGCTGCTATTTTGATTGCCGGCCTTTATTCTTCTTTCTCAACATGCCTGCAGCAATGCACATCACTGTGCTGGTGGCCCTGTATGCAGTGGCTGTTTGTAAAGGTAAGTTGACATTTTGACACACATTTTACCGTTTAATGGATTTTTGCGATTTTGAATAATTCAAATCTTCAATCAAAAATAGTATTTTTAAAAGTATTGTTAAAATGCAAAGTGATGCAATCACAAAACTTGCTGTAGTATGTCACTGCGTAGGAAAACATTGTATTTAGCACAATGATTATGTGACATATGGGCAAAGATTAAAAGTAGTACAACAATCTGCCACATAATAACAGACATTTTTATATCCAAGTAAAAGGCCTGTTTAAAGGTGAAATGCAAATGCAAGAAAAGTTTGCAGTTCTGCATTTTTCAATACAAATACAGATTAGTAAAGAGATATATGAACTGCTATTGATAAGTCATAAGAAGAATAAATAAATGGGATGGGGTGTGAAGACACTATTCTATTGGTATGCGGTTCAATAACAGAGTACGGTTGGTGTCGGCTTTTGAGTATCCCTAAGTCCTCACTGTCGGTACCACGCCAGTCCCTGTAATAGGGACCAAGTCAATGATTGTGGTGACTTTTAAATGTCTATTTTCATGCCAGCCACCAATCGCAGAAGCTTTACAAAAAGAAAAAAATGCATCCAGGTATAAAAAATTAAGAAAACATCTTTTTCATTCTTTTTTCTTATACACCGTTGGTGTATAAACCCTAAACCCTTAGTACGTAGAATGGTTGCAGCTGGGTGAATAAGTTGTCTTGGAGGGTACAGTACAAGTGCAGTACTGCGTTTACGCATGCTGCGTAACGAAGGAACCCAAAAGCACCACTCAGACATCTACGCGAGAGACAGGTGGATTTTACTAAAAGTTCGGGCAAGGTCAAAACCGGGAGATCCGTCAGTAGGCAAACAAATCCAGAGGGACAGGTAGGGAATCCGTAGACGAGAATAGGCGCGGGTCAGAACCAGGATGGCAATCGGACAGGCAACCAAATCCGAAAAGGAGCAGGCAGTGAATTCGTAGTCAAACAAGCAGGCGAGGTCAGAACAGAAGGATATCGAGCTGATTTAGAAACGCTGGAAAACTTGGCATACACGCGCGACAATCGGGCAGGAAACAACAATGTTAGAGGCCTAAATAGTGAGTGGCTGACGAGGGGATGTGCTGCAGGTCACAAGGGCAAGAAGAAGCAGGTGAGGGCAATGAGCTGATGATGTGGGAGGATCTGAAATGACAGGAGACTTAGTAAACATGCAGGTGAGACGAAAACAAACTAAGATGTGGCACATGTGGTACATGCTGTTTCATCCAGTACAACTAATCTAAAGGTCACGCAGCAGCCTCCTGTGAAAAGGGGCAAATCATTTCCAACTACACCTTTGCTTTAAGTTCATAATATCAGCTTGGTTATCAACCATGATATTGATCTGATGCCAGTGATGTGCATCCTCACGTAAATGTAATGCTGTTTGTTCCTTTGCAGGCAGCACCACTTCTAGTGCAGCCACACAGCTATCAGAGACAACCACAAGTGCTGCACAACACACCAGTCTGACTGCAACCACCACCGACAGTACACAACCTCCTCCAACAACGACACAGCAGATTAGCACAGCATTCGCTTCAGAGAAAGCGACATCCTCCCCGGCGCCCTCCACCTCCCCACAAACACACAACGGGACACAGGCGACACATTTCAGTGTCACTCCTCCTCAGACTGCAACGTCCAACAAGACATCAAATGAGACGACATCCCACGAATCGACACTCGCATCGGCGTCAGAATCACCAAACGTCACTGCAACCACCGCAGCAAACACGACCAGCTCAGGTCAGATTTATTCTTTATTAGAACAATGATTACATCTCCAAATCTGCTCATCTAAAAATGATATAAATATGAAAAACATGTTACTTTTTCATTCATTCAGACACGGTGCTTTTAGTGAGAAAAACATCAATTAAGAAGCTATATAGTGTTTCATTCAGCGGTATGATAACAGGCTGTCACCTACGTTATTTACTTTAAAGTTGCATTAATACATCTTTTGCTGTTAGAGGACAGCAGATCGTCTAATGGACAATTAATGAAATTGTTAGTGTTGGGCTTTTTTTTTTTAAGGGTGACAACCACCAATAACAACTTGTCAGATGAATACTTTCAAACTAGTTGAGCAAAATATATTCTCCATGCACAAGTAGTCAAATATCAGAGTTCAGTGTAGGAAAAAGAGTAAAATACAGTTAGCCCAAAAGCAAATAAGCACCAGACACCTCGTAGTGGCTAGTTGGGTTGATTCTGATGCTGGTAATTCTTCCTTTCTAATACCATCATTTCTGACTGAGGCAGACATGAAGTTGAGAACGTTTTTGGCTTGTCTCCTTCTCAGGCCTTCCACAGGAGTGGGACAAGGACGATTTAGAAGAAAATCCTGGCCTTGTGGCCGTCCTTTGCATCTTCTGTATCGTCTTTGTCCTCGTCCTGGTGGTTGTGACTGTGAGATGCATCAGATCGTCGGGCAACAACTTTGAGAGGCTTGAGGACGTGCCGATGGTGAGCTAGAAATAAGGAACTTGATGATTTAATTAAATTGACTTGTAAAACAGCACATTTTCTAAACTGAAATGTGATCAAATCTTGATTAAATCAAAATTGTAATATGACACATTATGATGAGACTAAAAGAGGTAATTGATCTTTCTACCATGTTAGCAGTTTATTGGTGTGCTGGTTGGTTGGTTGGTCCGGGCTAGAATATTTCAAAGATATTTGATTGAGTAACAACGAATAGGGTTCCCCTCTCCATCTGCTGCACAATGTGTACACAACGCACTACTAAAAGATATGTACCCGTGATCTCAAGAGCTTATACTCCACACTGCACTTCACTTGGTCATGAGCAGTACACCTGCCAAGCGGAGCCGATCGGATGCACGTTTTTTGAGGAAATCAAAGGACATACAGATATTTACATACAGATAATACGCCTTTAATTTTAGTTAGAGGTTTGCGACCTGCCACGGCACCATAGGAGGTAAACACGGGACATGTTTTACCTGCTGACATCAGCACAGTAGCATTTTCTTTCGCTTTGCAGACATGGCATTTTGTAACACATTTTGTGCAATTGTAACCGCATTTAGATGAGACATGCATAATTCAACTCCAAGCAAATGTGGAAGCTAACACATAACTTGTCTGAGTAAGTAAACTACAATGCTATAACATGAATAACGTGAGATTGTAGTGTTTCCACCAGCAGGTGGCAACACTCGCATGAGATTTCTTATATGATAGAAACATGAACACGTGTGACTGGCAGCAGTTATTAAGTCCAATTTATTTATAGAGCACTTTTCACAGACCAAGATCACAAAGTGCTTTACACAACAGGAATCCAACATCATGGTTGAAATGCACTTATACGTGCATTTCAACACTTGAATGCACTTATTGAAAGACGCTTTGGATAAAAACGTCAGCTTAGTGACATGAAATGTAACGTAATAAAAAAAAAACACAGAGTGACCATTGGGCCAAATCATCATATGTAGGCTAAAAAGTCTTAGACCACAGCGATTTGACCTTTGAACACCGGCAGTGTATACAAGCTGCCATCGAAAACATATTAAATTAACTTCCATATGTCTTATCTTTATCTTCATCTTTTCCCCCACAACAGCACAGCAGTTTGCTGCTCTCGCGTTTACCCAAACAGGAAGCCAGCGGTAACATTGTCAGAGGGTGAAGAAGTCTTAGAAGCAGTGTGTGGCAGACATGTGACTGAGCACTTTTTTTTAGAAACGATAAAAGTGCTGATGATGAGTAATCAGCGCTGCATCAGTGTGTCTGCAGGTATTCAGGCAGCATCCCGGAGACTTCAGTACGCATATCAGGCGAAGGTGTGACCGAAGCATCAAGTTGGTCACACCTTCACCTGATATCGTGTGAAAACCAGAGCGCAAAAACATTTAATGACAAAACTACTGACGCCAGCTATCTGTAATTCTTTATCTGCACCTGCACTGTGCGTAGCTTTCATGACGTCAGTGTGGAACAAAGCTCAGTGCATGTGGACCTAAAGATCAGCACGTACGGGCCTGCGTATAGGTTCAACACAGAAACAGATGATCTTGCAAGCTAAGCTGAGGGTGGTGAGTAAATCATTTTCAGGTTTGAGTGACCAGACCATATTTTCTTTTTCCAAAGGTAACTTGAGTACCGGGGAAAAGCTTGCACACACCTTCTCCATCTATTCAATGAGAAGGTGTGTCCAGACCTTTGACTGGTACTATACATACAAAAGGGTTGTTTATTGAAAATCTTTATTTTTCCTGCATTTCCTGAACAGAATCTCACACCTGTGAACCATTTAATATTTACTGACTTAACATTTCAAAGCTGCTTTGAAACTCTGTGGGGATTTTATTTATGTCTTGTCAATTCTACTTCTCGTGTATTTCAGAGTTTGAAGCGACATTTTGAAATGTTGACATCATTGCAAGGATAAAGTGAATTTCCACTGTTGAAATATCATTCATTTTTCATTTAAATCTCATCCTTTAAAATCTAGCTTATAATTTGTGCAACAACACTGAAGAGAAGTAACAAAGCAAAACATTCTGTAGAGGTAAAGACTAAGGCGTAAGTGGCAGAGTTCTAGCAAAATGTAACTGTTTACATTATCAATTCCTAAAAAGAACTAGCTTAAATCAGTTCCACACAACGACGGGATATTCGAAACCTTCTAAGTTGATAAAGAAAATGGTTAATATAAAATAAGGTCAATTTTTATGTAAAGCACCACAGTTCCATGAGCTTTATTCATTGGTGAGGAGGACATCCAACAAAGGCAGTGGTACGCTTCTCTGGTTGCAAGTTTTAAATATGAGTCTAGCTCCTTTTAACACCTTCACTGTTTCCTTTCATCTCACTAGAGCAAAATGAACGAGCAGTCCCCATTTGCTCGGTACTCAAAATGACGGAGGACACTTCATCCGGCGCTGGAGGAGGATTCCGCTCTGCTGTACAACAGAAAAACAACAGAAAAAAAACATGATCTCTCTCTCTCACGCTCTCGTTACTTAACAAAGCACTTTTTTCATTGACTGTGGAGTATTTCTGGCCTATCTATGACCTTTGACCTTTGTTTTTGTTGCTTCTAATTCTGGTTATTGAAGCGAAGTCAGCCAAGTACAAAAGTGCATGTAAAATATAACTTGTAAGTTATTGATTGCCAATTATGATGTATAAAAAATGTCTACCATGGCCTTTGATGTAGACTGTAGTCTTATCCTAAGAGATAACCTCAGCTGTTGAGCCTCATTTCAGCCGGAGAAGTGAGGAAAAATAACCTAATAGAATTATTAAGGCCAAGAAACATTAAGACTGCCAACGAACCATGGAAAGAGATATAGTGTACTTTGGTCTGCTCAGTTGTTAAACTGTATTATTGGTCAATTACATTATTTCTGTCTTTAACAAAAAATGAAACTTGTCGAAAAAAGTCCAATTTGATTCCTCTGGCCATACCGCTTGACATAGAATGTTTCCACATATCTTCTGTGTTTGGCAAAGCTGCTATCATTTATTGATTTTAATTCTGTAAACATACAGTACATCTCTCTCTGACCAAGACACATTCTTCCCTATACAATCCAAAATAAAATATGACTACTTTCATATTTTGCTATGGTAAATATGCCCCATATTTACCCAAAAAAATCCTGATCACGATCATCACCTTGTCTCTGTGTGCGTAACACACACTTGCTGTCAGACATGTAGAGCACATCGTTTTCAAGGAAATAAAAGCAATATTCGAAATTCACATTTTAGTTTTTTGCTTTTCAATATCACTGCTTATTGCGGTCCTTAGTTCAGAACCGCATTGTATTCGGTCAGTATTCATTTCAACCACTCTTCAATATTGAGAGAAGTTTCTCAAGAGAGGATACAGACCCCACGAAGAAAGGTGAAAGTAGAAAGTAGACGCCTGACATATACTGGTTTAATCTAATGAACAGACATCTGAGTAATATCTGTGAGTGAGAGTTCTTTCTTCAGATTCCATTTGATTAAATTAGACACAGAAACAGATTAGATGCTGGCATTGCCTACTGAACCAATTGGGCACTATTTCATATGAAGTGTGACACTGGGACACATATATTTTTTATTTTGTTCTTTATTTTTTAAATATTTGAAATAACTTTTAAATGTAGCCTATTTTATATGAAAACCCAACTTGGCACATGGAATAAAGCAATGGGCTACTACCTCGTGGGTCATCCAGTGCCAGTATAGGCAACTAAACTATACTATACTGGCAATTAAATAAAAAGAAAAGCATACCTTTTTTGCTAAATCGTTAATCTGTCAGTGAGATCAAATTCTACATGTTAAAATACACAAAGTAATGTTATATGAATAAACGTCCTGGTAAAATGCATATTTATATGTTTAAAAAAGTAAAATCAGAATCAGAATCGGCTTTATTGTTTACACATACATGGAATTTGTCTCCGATTACACGTTACTCTCAATCATACATAGATGTACAAATAAACAGAAATAGGAAAAAAATAGAAAAAAGACATTAAAGACAACTAAATAGAACACAAAAACTACAAACAAACAAATACTCCCGTCCACATTTAATAGGCTACACTAATATAACATTCCCGTAGGCTTCATTATTAGAAGACATTCCAGCAGACCTCGTGGGTCATCCAGTCAGGTTGTTTACGTTCAACTGCAACGCTTCCTGTCACGTGACAGAGGGGCGGTGACGTCACAGTCTCGGTCGGGCACGCCGCCCTGCATGTTACAGAGTTTGAAGTCTAACCAACTAATCTGCCGCAATAAAACATGGAAACGAGAGATGAGGGCTGCCGCTCAACCTGACGTCCACATCGGGTCCAGCGTCTGAACCAGCACGAGGAACCGCGGCTGGTCGTTGCGGTGAGTACAAAGGAATGTGTCAAATAAGACACGCCGACACAGAGCGGCAGCTTCCCATGAAAAAGTATTTAAAGTATTTAAATGGGTGACCATGTCGCTCTTTGGGAACGTAGCTTCTGAAGAATCCCCGATTTCACTGTGGGAGTCTTAGCGTCCCTAAAGAGACATCCTGTCTGTTAAACATTTTATTGACTGATGTGATCTTAATTGGATTGATTATCGCATCCTTATAATAAGTCATACACAATAACGTGTTGGTTTGGCTTTTTTTTTATTCCCAAGATGTTCCTTCCAAAAAATGAACTGTTGTTTTGTGCGTTTGTCTGTTTATGTTCCTCTAACATGTTATCATGAGCTCGTAGGAGTTTATATTCCGTGGTATAGGTCTGATAGTTCGTAGTCATACTTGTGTTGTAATGTTCTGTAAGAAGGAAAGAAGGAAAGTTGAACCGTTAATGAATAATTCAAGTTCATGAGCAAATCAGCATGGAATGTATTTCCCCAAAATATTTATGCATCCCTCCTCCTGTCTTTATCTCCTTCCTTCCTCCATATCTGCTTCCTTCACTTGGTCACTATAATACACACAAACACACGCGCGCACACACACACACACACTCACACACACACACACAGAGCATCTCCCCTGTGACATAGTTACATAATTTGCCTTTTTTCATGATCTTTCTAACACACGTATTATCAGAATGGGAAGGTAACAAAGTATTTATGTAAATTCATATTTCAGCATTGTTATCTATCCTCTCGTTGGAATCACGTTTTACACATTTTACACGTTGCATATACTTTTTATATAACTGCTCTCTACTCTAGGGTCCGTTTGTTTGCTCAAGTCAGCCTGTATATAAAAAACGGCAACATGCAATAAATAAGGGGGGAGAAAAGCTTGATTTCTATGTTTATTTGAACTAAATAATATATTTACAAAACGTTTATAAAACATTTAATAACTTGACCGGTCTTGTAGGATTTTTGCCTTTTACTGCATCTGCTACCTTCACACATATGGAGAAAGTAACTCGGGTCTTCAGGTTAAAACTGTTCTGTCAGACCTGTTTCTTAGGAAATCTTTCAGTGTCATCAATTCCACAGAAAACCAGTCATGACCGTGCTGTTTGTGCCCGTTAGATGTCGTGCTGCTGCAGCACTGATCTGCATCCTCTTGCTCTAATCATTCATCATCATCTGCCGCTTTTATCTGCAAACATTTGCAGAGCCGATTCAGGCATGACCTGAATTGGCTTTTGTCTGTCTGCACAACTCACTGGTGTATTGAGATCAAAAAAGCATTTGTATTTTGCTTCCTCGGAAATCAAAGTGAGAATGAAAAAACCCTCAACCCCTAGGCATTTATTGACACAGGGAACTGAAATTAAGACTGTATCCTGCAGTTAATTTTTTTTTTGAATGACTATTTTTGATTGTTGGCATGAGTCACTCTAAGCTGTAAAAACCAACACGTGGGTTTATCAAAGTGTCTCCTGTGTAATAAGGGCGTGAAGTGCAAAGACATTTGGCCACCGTGGAGGTCATACATCTTTCTTTTCTCCGTAGTGTGTGTGTGTGTGTGTGTGTGTATACACATATGTATGTATGTATGTATGTATGTGCATGTTTATATATACATATATATATAATATGTGTGTGTATAAACATTATTAATTAATCAATTAATAAATTGTATTGCATCGTGACAGTGTAAAGGGGTTTCAGGCCGTATTGTCGAAGAATGTGATGATCTATACGGTGCCCTAAGGCTCAGGTCAGCTGCAGATACCATTTCCCATCCGTTATGCGGATTGTAAATCTAATACTTTACCACCGGAGAATTGACAAAAAAAACAAATCCCTTACGGAATTACAATGGTCTCATTGTGGTAATTCCGTAAGGGATTTGTTTTTTTTGCCAATGAAAACATTTGACATTTGTCAAGAAGAACAAGGAGATTTCTTAAAGAATTTTAGTTTTTTGGCAGACAGATGGTGTGAAGATCTGTTCTGAAAACTGCTTAGAACCCCCTTAATGTCAATAGGGACAGCCATGTATTCTCTGTGAGCCCATTCATAAAGTTGTCTGGCCCTCTTCCCAACAAGCTAGCGCGACATACCAGTATCTTCACTACACCTTCAAAACTGAGGCAGCTACCGCCTCCGCAAGACTCAATCTTTTATTTTATTTAATCTCGGATTAAAGAGAGACCGAGAGGTGAATATCCAGAGTACTGGTAATGATAAATGATCAAATTGATATTAATGAAAGATAATAATAATCCATGACGGGATGGGTTTGGGTGAATATCGTGGATCACATTGGTCTGGTTTCGTAATGACGCTCTTGAACGTTGCTCAGAGTCTTTATCAGATCAAATCTTACGTGCGTCACCACAACAATGAAGACATCGCGCGACCCCTTGGGTGTTAACTTTATGATGGTTGATTGTGGGATTTAAGACAAGGACACACTGTTGAGATGGTTAATCATTACAGGCTGTTCTGTGTAAAATGTTATGCTGCAGGTCGTCGTGTAAAAAATGGTTGTATAATGTGACATATCAGTACCGATGTTAGTCAACAAGAAATGCTTTTGAATTAAAGCTCAGAAGAAAGGCCAGATTTGACCATAAACAGCTGCAGCAGACACCTCGCATATTTGCCTTTCAACTGGACTCCGTTTGGATGTTTTATGATGGAGACTGAATTGGTTGACCTTCCTAATGCACCCGCTTTTAATCAAGTACTAATTAGGAGACGGTTCGTATCTGAGAGCTTATTAATTAGGCCCTTAAATCGACGTTATATGTGGTCAGAGCAGAATAATCACTTACGACATTAGCGATGGCCCTTTTGTGGAACACTCCAAAGAAAGTCTTTATCCTTAAATGTCAGGCTGGCTTTCATTAGTTTGAGAAGTGAAACTGACCATAATGTATTAGGAAGGCAGCAGTAGCTGCACGGTGGCTGACGCTGTCAAAGGGCATCTGGAAACTTGGATACCATCAAAAAAAGAGGCTTGGCAGAATGTATTGGAGATTAAAGAAGAAGTTAATGGTATGCTTTGAATTCATCTACGGCTGTTGGGAATGAATATCTATACAGTTTGAATAAATGTGCAACTATGGCACCTGCTCTGTGCTCACATTGGACAACAAAGTGCTTTGAATATTCCACGCAAGCTTAATTAGGCTCTGATCCATCAGCTCTGCTCCCCACCAGGGTCCCAAAACCAAAGCAGCTGAGAGGAATTCCATCATCATCGATGCGACTGCCCTTCAGCACCATATTTCCAACTCATTAACCAAATATCTGGAGCTGTGTTGTAGTCTGTTAACAGGAATCTCGTGCTGTGCTTAATGCCATGTAAGTGTTAATTAACACAACATATCTTTGGCGAAGGTACAATCGTGCTTATAAGGCCAGACAGTAAAGCTTTGCAGCTTATGAATCTAGAGACCTTTGTGCAAACACAAAAAAACGTGACAATGTGAAATAAGAATCTCTAATAGAAGGTTGTTGTGGCCTGGAAGCCGGTTGCATGTCACATACTGCCTCTGTACCTTCCTGTCACTTTCATAAGATTGTGCACGCAAACGCCACTTCCTTTTGTTATGTGAAATGGGTAATTCCACATTCTGAATATGAAAAAGATTGAAGGAGCAGGCTGGCATCGCCTCCGGAATGTAAACAGCAGCTCCTGTTTACTGTTTGGTTTTGTGAAGAGCACAACCTGTTTTTTTTCCGCGGAGATGTGCACTTTTTAATGAAGCAGCAGCAGGAGGGTGAAGAGTAGCCAATGCATGTGTGTTTGAAAGACACCGCCTTTCATAAAAACTAATACACCTGCCAATA